GGCCGATTGTCAGCGGCGTCTGTCACTGGTCAGCATGTGTGGCAGCCAACGCAGCGGCGCCGGAGTGTCAGTGCTTGGGTTCCACGGCCGGGGGTACTGGCAGGGGTTCGATGTAGATACCCTGCCGCCCTGCGTATCTCTCTCTCTTCTTGTCTTTCATGTGAGACGTATGAACAGCTTTAGATGACTTTGATGGTGACTTTTTCTTGAGCAAGTCAATTGATTAACTATTTATCATAATTTGAGGTTTTTCATAAATTTGCACGAGACAAGAGAACAAAGTTGTCGTATTGGTGACAAGGTCTGGAGAGAAGTTACTCCACGATAGATAAGCGGCGTTAGGGCGGCCGGGTACCCGGTGCCGTGGTGCTAACATCCGATAGCGCACGAGGGGTTCAACACTTCCCGCTCAAAGCTCATGTTCGTCTCCAGCCGACCTAAGCTTCCACCTATCCGAGACTTCTCCGAGTAAGTCGGTTGAGAAGGGCATTGAGGTCTTTTCAACATCAGGGACAAGACTGTGAGCACTTTTATAACTTCTCGAAGGCTTTTCCCCACAAACAGAGGCTCAGTGAATTCATCCGACCTTTAGATGACTCATCTCATACCCCGCGGTGATTTACTCTTATACTGACTACCGCCAAGTTCGTGCAGGTGCACTGAAGGTAAGATATCATGCGTCACAAAGTCTCTTGTCAACTTCAAGGCGACAACTAACACATCGTTGTGTCCAGATAACTCGAGCTGGTCAGCATGGGACATCTCATCACTGTTGCGACTTGTTCGCTGAACCAGTGGGCATTGGACGTAAGGTTTCCGCAACTAACATAGATGAAGTGCCATTCATACGACCCCTCATCTATGTTCAGGAGGCAGATGCTAAATGGAATCACATATAGTGGGAAGGAAATGCCGCTCGAATTGTTGAGAGTATTCAAAAGGCAAAGGCAGCTGGAGCTCGCCTGCGTGTCGGTCCCGTAAGTATTGTGAAGCTCCAGCTACGATACAGCATTGCAAGGATGCGCTAGAGTCTAACACCACCGCAGGAACTGGAGATATGCGGCTACGGATGTCTCGACCACCTCCTCGAGCAGGACCTTTACCTGCACTGTTTCGAGATGCTTCGTCGCATCCTGCTCGACGAGACCTGTCACGGCATCCTCCTCGACATCGGTATGCCCGTGCAGCACCGCAACCAGCGCTTCAACTGCCGGGTGCTCTGCCTCGACGGCAAGATTCTCATGATCAGGCCCAAGATGTGGCTCGCTAACGATGGTAACTACCGCGAGATGCGCCACTTTACGCCCTGGATGCATCCCAGACAGACGGAGCAGTACCATCTGCCCCGGATCCTCCAGGATATCCAGGGGTCTACCCACGTCATCTTTGGCGACGCCGTGGTTTCCACTCCCGATACGTGCTTTGGAGCAGAGACCTGTGTAAGTTCGTCAGAGGCCACGCACGGCGGTTCATTGGCTCGGTGTCCATGGAAAATGAGCTGACAAACTCGCCCATAGGAAGAGCTCTTCACGCCCAACGCCCCGCACATCGCAATGAGCCTCGACGGCGTGGAGATCATCACCAACTCCAGCGGCTCACACTTCACCCTGCAGAAGCTCGACACTCGTCTCCAGCTCATCATGGAAGCCACGCGCAAGTGCGGCGGCGTCTATCTCTACGCCAATCAACAGGGTTGCGACGGCGACAGGCTGTACTACGACGGCTCCGCCATGATCTTGGTCAACGGAGACGTCGTGGCTCAGGGGTCGCAATTCAGCCTGAATGATGTTGAGGTCGTCACGGCCACTGTCGATCTTGAAGAAGTTCGCGCCTACCGTTCGGCCATCTCTCGCGGTCTCCAGGCTGCGCGATCTGATGCCAAGTATCAGCGGATCCAGACTGCTTTTGAGCTTAGCTCCGAGGACGAGGACGCGGATATCATGATCACCCCTTCGCCCCCTATCAAGCCCAAGTATTACTCGGTTGAGGAAGAGATTGCTCTATGTGCTGGCTGCTACCTCTGGGATGTGAGTTGGGCCAAGTACTCCTTTTCTATATGCCCGGCTGACCCAACTCCCCCTATTAGTATCTCCGCAGATCCGGAACTGCAGGTTACTTGGTACCCCTGAGTGGAGGAATCGACTCTTGCGCCACAGCGAGTACGCCTTTCTCTCCCTTCGCCAGTCACCCCTGAAATCAGTCGCCACTGACACCCCTTTCACAGCAATCGTCTTCTCCATGTGTCGCATCGTAATGAAGGCCGTAGAGGAGGGTAACGCCCAGGTAATCGAGGACGTCAAGCGCCTGGCAAAGTACGACGGCGAAGACGTGCTCCCCAAGACGCCCCAGGTCCTCTGCAACCAAATCTTCTCAACCATCTACATGGGCATGAAAACGCAGAGCTCCGTCGAGACGCGTCAGCGCGCCAGGGACCTCGCCGAAGCCATTGGCAGCTACCACATCAACCTCGACATTGACGACGTCTACAACGCCCAAAAGAGCCTCGCCGTCACGGCGCTCAACTTTGAGCCGAGGTTCAAGGTCGAGGGCGGGACGAACCAGGAGAATCTGACGCTTCAGTGTATCCAGGCGAGAATCCGCATGGTGACCGCGTACGAGTTTGGGCAGCTTCTTCCCACGGCCCGCGGACGACCTGGCGGTGGCGGTCTGCTTGTTTTGGGCAGTGCAAATGTCGGAGAGGTGCGTTTGCTTTGCTTTGATACCCACGTCCATCTCCGCTTTGCTGTCATCTAACAACTGCCACAGTCCCTCAGAGGCTACTTTACCAAGTCAGTGATCCAAATTTGACGACAGGGAGTGACTCATACTAACTAATTTCGAGATATGATTGTTCCAGTAAGCTTTCATACCCGCTACATTCTGTTCACGGGAACTAGTACCCCACATCACTTTAAGAGAAGTCTAGACTAGTCCGTCTGCGTGTTATTCAACAGTACCGGTATCCTACTCCCTGCCTACATCCTGGTATCATTGCCAGTACTAGCAAGGGAGCAAGGACTGCATGACGACTCTACAGCATCGGAGGAAGTCTACCTTAACTCCATGCCTGACTGACACTCAAAATCTAGGTGCGGATATCAACCCGATTGGCTCCATCGACAAAGCCGACCTCAAACGCTTCATCGCGTGGGCCGAAAAGGACTTCAACATCCCATGTCTCCATGATTTCCTAACGGCGGTCCCGACCGCAGAGCTCGTACGTGATATACCCGCTAGCCCCTCAAGCCCCGCCCGCTGAACGCGCAAGAGCTGCGGCTCAACTCATGCGCCAGCATCCTTCCTTGTCTTGACAAGAAAAAGACTTTGCGGTACAAACAGCCTGACTTACGTGATCCCAATCGCATTGTAGGAACCCATCTCAGAGACCTATGTACAGAGCGACGAGGTGGACATGGGCATGACCTATCAAGAGCTGACCATTATGGGCCGCCTCCGCAAGGTGAACAAGCTGGGCCCGTACGGCATGTTCCAACGCCTTGTCCACGACTGGAGCGTCGACCGCAAGCGTGGTCCCGATGATGATGCTCCCGCGTACGAGCCTAGCCAGACGGCCGATAAGGTCAAGAAGTTTTTCCACTTTTACGCCATCAATAGTGAGTTGTTCCTGCCTTGTGAGACGATCGCTGTTAGGTTGTTCTAACTTTGGTGAACAGGACACAAGATGACGACGCTTACACCGGCTCTTCACTGCAATGACTACTGTATGGCAGCACATCGCAACCCAGTTTCTTTCTTTTCCCCCGGTTTAGTAAGTCACTGACTGGTCGATAATAGCACCCGACGACAATAGGTTCGACCTCCGACCCTTCTTGTACCCCCCCTTCTGGAAGAGCTGGAGTTTCAAAAAGATTGATGCGGAGCTTGCAAAGATTGAGAAGCGGAGGGCAAAGACCAAGGCATAAGTGTATTCGTAGTCTGTAGTCCATAGTCCGTAACCCCCCCTGCCTTGAGGTAGAGAATGATGGAGGCATAGTCCGCATGGTTCCGCATGGAGAACGAGGGGCCCTGTAATTCTTATGGGTCCTCGCACTCGACCCACAGCGTAGGGCTAGCGTTCCGGCGATCGAGGTGGAAACAGATTCCTTAAGGGAGAGAAGAATTGCGCTAGAAACAAGATGCTGGGTCCATACCACCCATAGACTCCATGGATCCCGCGGTATCGTCGGACCCCGAATCTAACAAAATTCCCCGAACACTGTATCACAGAGTATAATGACCAGAAGGACGCGTGTAATGAGGCTCCCTATTCGTTATTTGGACTCTCCTACGGACCACCTCTGTAGAGCTTGTTCGTTACGGGCCACGGCTCCCACATGCCGGCTGCTGCCTCCCCCTTCCCGCCCCTCCACAGTCTACCCCACATTTCCCGACTACAAGCCTCCGGCAGAGCGCCGGCTGTCCATCCGACTATTACCTCACTTCGGATCCGGAAAGTCCATCACTGCCCAAACATATCAAGTGCGATGTGGCCAATCAGCGGTTCTGAGATGGTAATTCTCTCCAGGTGGGGTGGGTGGCTCCGGGAGGAACCCATGTCAACATGTACTTCATATACACGGTGGGATTGAACAATAGGCTCTCGAGTACGCGGTAACGCTCTCACGATGCGAGATTCCTTGCACAGTCCAGCCCTCCTGCCAAGACTTCTAAGGGGCAGGGTGACGTTTGTTCCCGTCCCCATCTCCCCGTCCTCCCTTCGAAAGCGTGGTTGTGATGGCTAAGCATGTGAGCTTATTGGCCAACACGGTCGTGGCTCCGTCTGAACATGTCCTGCGGTGTCTGAGTTAAGGTAGTCAGTGAGGTCGATTTAGGATGTGGACCATAGCTATGTGCGTATGCTTCTCTGTGAAGGGGAGGAGAAACATGGAGATCTGCAAACGTCAGGAAAGGGCAGTGTTTTTTTTTTTGTTTCGCTTCCTATGTGGCGGGAGTTCATCCGGAACATGGCAAGGTTCTCATAGTCCACTTTGGAGGAGTGGATGAACTTTTGCTTCGACGGCAGCGGAATTGTAGTGACGATGTACGTGACGACGACGGGTGACGACTGGGCGAACAACGCAGAAGCAAGCATCGCCAAAGTGGGAGACAACGGAAAAGGAGAGAGGCCTCTTGAACGAGATGGAAGTATATAAGGATCGTCGAATCACCCTCAACGAGAGAAGAGAAGAATGAGACATCAGCAATCCAAGCATTGAGAAGCTATCACACAGATCTTTCCCAAACCCATACTCTCTTTCACAGTCTCACGACTCTTACTCACTCACTCACTCATACAACGAAACCACCACTCTTTCCCCCCAAAGACAACAACAACGAACAATGCATCCCGCCGTCCTCCTCGTCCTCACCTCCGCCCTCCTCGGCACCGCCCACCCAGGCCACCACGAAGAAACCCACCCCTCACTCCTCGCCTCCCGCCACGCCCACCACGGCCTCGCCCGCCGCGGCCTCGAAGCCTGCTCCTCGTCAAAGGTCTACCGCGACCTCCAAGCCCGCGCCCTCGTCCGCCGCGCCGACGCCATCGCCTACCACCGCGCCATCCGCAAGCGCGCCACCGACAGCGCGGGCGTAGGCCACAACCTCACCTCCTCGCACGTCGGCATCGACACCTCCACCGCGTCCGCGGACCTCTTTGGCTCCAACCACACCTGCATTCTCGACCCGGAGGGCGAGATCGGCCCCTTTTGGGTAAAGGGGGAGCACCTGCGCTCCGACCTGCGCGACGACCAGGAGGGCGTGGATGTCGTTCTCGACGGGCAGTTTATCGATGTCAAGACGTGCGAGCCGATTACGGATTTGTACTGGGATCTGTGGAACTGCAATGCTACGGGCGTCTACTCTGGCGTGCAGAGTTCCATGAACGGCGATGTGAATGACGCGAGTAACCTGGATAAGGCGTTCCTTCGCGGTATTCAGAAGACGGACGCCGATGGTGTGGTGCAGTTTACGACCAAGTTCCCCGGTCACTATGATGGCCGCGCGACGCATCACCACATGGTTAGTTCTCTCTCCAGAGAGCAAAATTCTTAACCTCTTTTCCCCAACCAGAGAGCATCTTATACTAACGCACGCAAAACCAGGTCGCTTTCCTCGACGCGACAGTCCTCCCGAACAACACCCTCTCCTCCTCCCACGCAGCCCACATCGGCCAGCTCTTCTGGGACCAAGACCTCATCACCGAGGTCGAGTCCCTCTACCCCTACACCCTCAACACCGTCGACGTGACCCTCAACGCTGACGACCACGTCGTCACGAGCCAGCTCGGCTCCAACGCCGACTCGGACCCCTTCTTCGACTACGCCTACCTGGGCGATGACGTCGCCGACGGACTCTTCGGCTGGATCACGATCGGCGTCAACCGCTCTGCTTCCTACGAGACCAGCTACGATTTCGAGTTGACCGAGGCGGGTGGTGTCGCGGTCGAGGGCGAGTCGGATGGTGGACTGAGTGGTGACATGCCCAGCGGTGGAATGCCTAGCGGTACTGGTGCTTTCAGCGGTGGTGCGCCGGCTGCTACTGCCACTGCTGCTGCGACTGCTGCGTGCGCATAATGTGGGAGAAAGCTGTTAGGCTTTCGGAAAAGGGGCAATGGGATGCTTTCCTTAGGGGAGAAAATTTCCTGCTGGTTGGATATTACACCATTCTCCTGCCTTCTCTAGATCTTCTATATTTCTTATCTGATGTCAGATTTCCTCAAAGTTGTCAGATGTAGTCCGTGAGTCTCTTCATGGCCAAAGTGTTCATGTTAAAGAAGTAAATATGTCGAATCCCGGTTGCCATTTTGATAAATGGTAATTCCACGAAAGCACCTCATCCTTAGTATATGCACTCGACTCGATTGGCTGCTAGGACTGACGTTGTAGAGATCCAACTTTTTCACTCTTTCATCTGATAATCCAATATCACAAAAGTTTGTCCATGTCAGATACCTGCACATAGTTTCGAGACCGAAGAGTCAAACAGTACGCTCTTTACAATGATACTTGTCGTCCACTGAAGCAACTCAAACTAGAATAATCAAGACATGGTAATTAGATAGACTTAAGATTCTGACATATGCTAACCATATGAAATTTGTCAAGATTGCCAGGCTACGCGAGAGAAACCCTTTGGCCATGCGCGCTGGGATCACGTATCCGAGCACAATGTGTTACCCGTACAACTCATTGAAATCAATATCGATTGATATTTCAGTATGACCTCTATACGACTACTTCTCACAAACTACACTGAAAGAAGGAAAACGGCCAGTGTTGTTGCAAAGATATTGCCGCCTCGACTATACGGAACATGTTGAGATGAAACTTCTGTCGACTTCGCAACCCGATAACTCAAAGCACCAAAGTACAGTACTATTGTCAAAATAGTCACAAGACGTCGAAAGAGAATTGCGGGTGTCATCCGTTCCACAATCCTCCCGAGCAAAGTCAGTGGAGACACAAGACATTGCTGCGCTGACGATTGTTTCTGTGTTCAATTCCCGTCGGGATTTTTTTGCTTCTTGCACCATCTAGCGATGAAAATCTTTGACTGACCCATCTTACCTATTTTGTCTATGCAAAGGCAAGGGAGGAATTAGTCCCGAGGCAAGCTCCCAGTCCCACGCTGGTTCCGAATAGAAAGGGAGGAAAGAATCTGTAGCGGGACGAGGGGTAACCAGTGTCGGAGAAAACACTTCCAGATGGCTTGCGCCAGCCTCAAGGCAATTTTGATACTCTGTGTCTCGGTGGAGGGATTCCGCGGCAAGTCGAGCAAGTCGACATTGAGAAAGTCGTAGCTGGGCGAGTCCAGCTATCACATTCTCCACATAGCGAGAGAAAATCTACCAGAGCGCAGGGTTGTCCGTCCAGTTGCAGTATCTTCCCTGCCAAGTCCAAATGTCTCAGCAAAAAGCGAAAATGTCGACGAATGAGCAGACGATGAATCGAAGTCCTCTCCTCAAGAAATCGGCACTAGTAAAACCTCGATAATCGACGATTGGCCCTGGTCGAGTTGTCTCAGAAATCCGGAAAAGAAAAGTCGAGATCGGCAAGCGGACCATGCTCGAATTGGGTCTGGGAGATGCTCCAAGCAGAAATGTCTCACACAGCTTCCGAGAAAAAGAGCACTGCACACGAAATAACCTTTTCCCAATCGTGGGCCCTTGCAGTTTCCTAGAGGCAAGGGGACTCCGCGTTTCCACTTTGAAGACGACGTTGTTGATCTTTCTTTGAAAACGCGGGCCTGTTCCCTTTACCTTTTCGCTCGCGTCGTTTTCGGTAGTAGCTAGCAGATTGAGATCGAGACCATCGCTGGGGCCTTTCGAACGTTAGCAGATCTGCAACGGCTGCGGGTGAAAAAAATAAATAAGGATTTAATCGCAGCAACCTGAAATGGGCCCGCCAACGTCAAAGCCCGCCCGCCGCCTACTGCAGGTAACGTAGCTCCGGGCAGCTGCTTTGCCTGACGGTATTACAAAACCACCTTGAAATCCTCTTCGATGCATCCTCTTGACAGAGCCGAATTAAAAGATAGTTTCCACTCAGTAGCGGACTTGCGTAAGTAGCTCTCGGGGCCTTTCTTGTCAATATCGAAATAGGCCGGCCACCAGCACATCTGTGTAACTCGGCCGTGGTCATCGGGACCAATTCCTCCTCCGCGGATGTGACGGCGCCCAAACTGACGAGATCGGTAGGGCTGCGGGTTGTTCAACGGTGCAATAAGGTTTGTTTGTTGAAAGGTAATAACCTGCAGACGCGGCTGTCGGGCATCGCGTTCCATTCTTTCGTAGCCGTCACAGCCGGCAAGACATCGGGGCTAGAAAAGATGGCTGACACATATTGCCTGACTGAGCTTCCCGCGACATGATCCGTTTTTGTCTCAGGCTGGCGTCTTGGACTCGTTTTGTGTCGTTGAAGACGGCTATTTTAAAGTCGCGGTCAAGCACCTTGTACCATGGTGACACTTGGAATCCTGTTTGTCGGACAAGGCGGTGGGAGTTGGTCAACCGACGATATTCTTCTCTTGTCGCACACGTACGATCTGCGTGATCACCGGGGATATCATGCGCTCTTTAAGTTCGACGAACACGTGCCAAGCAGTGCATCCAAATATCATCGTGGCGCATTCCAGTAACTGCTCCCATGTATTCCCGCACGTAACTCGAAGCTTTTCCCGCACCTGAAGCCAGCACAGAGCTCCCAGCCTGATGCCACAAAGCTTGGTATCACCAAGAGACCTCATGCCGAGAGAAATGGCTTCTGCTTGTGCTTCTTGGCAAAGATGCCAGCGCAGTGCAGATCGATGCAGAGCAGGCTGTCGTGGCCCATAGAGATCCCCTGCGTAGAATGCCCAATAAGAGTCCATTGAAGATGTGCAAATGATTGGCAATGTGGAAATGAGAATCCAGACCATTAGGACGCCAGTGCAGGTCCGTGATCACATCACTTCTCGAGGCTCAATCAAGCAAGAGACCGTGGGCGAGATCTCAGCTTCAGGACCGCTCGGGCGGCGCGGGTGACACCTAGCAAGCGGACCATTCTTCGGACGAACTCTTCAATTCGCGAGATTATGGATGAGAACTGGCTTGTTTAACTCCGCAGTCTGTGCGAGAGGTCGAGTTCGGATGGGCCAAAAGCCGATTGTTGCCAAGAGGCCTGCACATCTGTCAGAGTATGCGACCTACACTGCACACTTCATCGCTGCTGTCGATCTTGAGCCTTGATATTTTGCCAGTGGCAAGAGTTTCTCATGTGGTGAAAAACAAACAGCGTTGTCAAGGCTGAAGATGCGAGTGAGTAGTGTGGAGAGCTGAGAGGAGGAAACAGACTATTGTTTGGGCTAGCGGTGCCAACAGTTCTAGAGTACAACTTTGCGGATAGAGCCACTAGTCAGGGGTCAAAGGGAGGAGCTGATAGATCCCGCTCACAAATTCCACGAGTCTGATTAGACTCTTTTGGAACGTCCAGCCGACCTTAATTCAAAGATAAGGCATCGGCGTAGTAAGGCGGGGTTCCGCGTAGGCCTAATGTTAAAATGTCGGGGGACGTCGGCCATGGCCGTCTCATATCCCAACGCTAGATGCATTGTGGAAGCAAAAGTTGACCCAAGAGGAATTTTCTCCCATGGTGTTCAATATTTGGCGGTAATCGCTAGGAGGCAGCACGTCAGCATCGGCAAGCATTAGTTCCCAAAATGGAAGTCACGGCCGTTGACCGGCAAGTAAAGAAAGCCAAAGATGGCCCAGAACATAGAGAAAAGAACGCAACTTGATGTCCAAGTGTCTTGAGCGACGACATCTCAAGCCCTCGATCATCGATGTGAACCAGCAAGGGTGGCGCTGGCCACTTTCAACGCCGCCGAGTGCTTTCCCAAACCACTGGGACTCGGCTGTTGATTGAGCTGCTCTCCAGGCAATAACCACATAAGGTACCTAGTGTCCATGACCTTGACTGATTCAAGCCGGCCGTGAAGAAACTTGAGTATTGGCGGTAGTTGGTGTAAGGCTAGACAAGTTCAGAGACATTAACGAGCGGCGGAGAAACCTCTCCAGGTTTGCTTGGACGAATCTCTCCGATCCATGTCAACAACGTCAGAGATGACAGTCTGTGTATTGAAAGCGCGCTGGTTGTGTTACTTGATTCCGTCATGAAGACTGGACATTTTCGATCTTGGTTGCTCGCCAAAGTCTTTGGCCAGCTCTGTGTAATTGGGCCAAAGCTCCCACTTGCATCGTGGCAAAGAGGCCATTCAAGACCCCGCGATCTTTGAGAATGTGGTATGTATACGAGGTTCTGAGGTCACATCGCCATGCATTACATGCATACGTGCAGCTGCGATGATTGTCAGCTCCTGTGCATCTGACAGAAAGGCCGGCTTGGCATTGGTTGGCTTGGCCGCCACATCAGATTGCAACCTCAGGAACAGGCCCAAGCATCCACTGCAGTCATTTTCGAGAGAAGGCTCTTGAGCCATGCAGAAAGGCATGAGGCGTTTGTATCATCGACGGAAGAGAAAAAGGTAAGGCGGCACAGGAAGTGGCTTGCGACTTGTCGGGGCTGTCGAGGCTGGCCTCGCCCAGCGCTGCTGGTTTGGCTGACGCTATTGAGCCGAGCCAAGTAGCTAGTTGACTCAAATAGAGTTAATCAGCGTTTGGGACATTTCCCGGCAACTGAGTCGTTGGACTCGTTTGTGGGTGAGTGGCGGACGAGTAACCGCGGGGCGGTTCAGTCGAGATGTTCGTCAAGCTTTAGTTACTTCGTGGCTTCATCGATGTCGGCTGGTTGTTTCGTGGCTCTTCGCAAGTACATTCAGTCTAACGTACATGCTTTTCTGTTACGGTAAATCAGCGTAGAGAGGACTGCATCGTGGAATCTTTCGATTTGTAAACGCTTCCGCAACTGTTGACCCCTAGATCGGTCGCAATCTTTTGCCGTGACTGAGAACGTACCTTATCGATCAAGTGCCAAGTTTCCGACCGATAAGGTTGTCTCGGCGAGCAGTATCATAATGCAGGTCTTCTAGGTGGTGGTCAGCATTTGTCAATAATGACACCTGCGTGGCCTCAGCTATTCCGGAGTGTGGGCGCCTCGACGACAGCAAATGATGGCGGAAATTGTACGGATCACAAAGCCCCGACCAGGTGCGAGTTGATCACATACGAACCGGGCAATCTGGGCCTGCAGCGCTAAAGTGGAGAAACTTTGGGAGAGTTGGCCAGGTCGAATCAAGAACTGTCCCTCCAGCCGTAGCTGAGAGCAGGGAATTCTGCCTCGAGCGGGGGAAAGAGATCTCCAAGCGTTTGTGAGGAGCCTGGGGAGCGCCTTGTCGTATGCTGGATCGAAACTTGAAAAGAAACTTGCTGCAATGTCTTGCACGAACTGCAGGCCGTTACACACTTCCCACGCCGGGTTTCAAGGCTGAACTGAATAGTGGGATGTGATATCGAACGGTGTGGATATCTCCAAAGGTTTAGCTTTAGGTTTAGTTGTCTGCATCCGACTACGCCGTACGTCTTTACGTTTGATATCAACGGACGAGGCTCGTTACCGTGTCGTTGGTAACGTGGTCCAGTTCGAGTTTATTCTTGTGTTTGTGGACGGTGTGGCTACCGGAGGATTCGGAGAATGGGACGGATACACACTAGGCGTTTCTGTGTTAGGCCTCGGGATGTACCTTACTGCCATTCCGCTGACGGAAGGAAGGTGAGGACGGAAAGGTCCATCCGTACCTCCCTCAGATAGGTAGCTTCCAGGTTGTTACTTTCCATCGTTTAGAATGGTAGGTATTTGGCGGCGGCACTCGCTTTGGGCAAGAAGGCAGTTGCCAGCATCAGATTAACGTGGAAACATCGGATGTTCAACAGCAGGAAGGCGGCACAGGATTACGGCTCTGAACTGGAAGCAGCAACTCAATCTCACGCCTTCCTCTATCCACCCCCTTTTCGCCCAGGGGCATTCGATCCCACGTTACCCACTTAACCTAATCTGGATTAAGGTGACCAGAATGACAGGGTACCAGGGCATCGAAGATGCAGAAATATACTTAGGGAGGTACCTTTCAAGTGTGGAGTTGCAGGGGTCCCTCCTTCCGTGAATCCGCACCACAGTCCACGGGGTCCACGGGTCAGGGGACCTGGTTGCCGCCGGTCGAAATGCCAGTCAAAGGGAAAAGTCAAGTCATCTTGACTCGTCCAATCTACTGCAAGTCAGTAACTAACATCTCGTATCGTCCGATGGCAAGAAACTGATACAAAAAGCACTGGCCATCGACTGTCTAACTCGCATCGCAATGGCTTAACGGGTCTCGGTTATTAGACACTTTCTGGGCGGGGGTTTTCTCCCGGCTATCTCAAGCCAAGAGAGCGGTTGCTGGGCTTCGGACGAGAACTACGGCCGACTGCTCGAATCAATGGAGAAGGAAAAGCCTCGCTCCCTCCTTTGACACTTCTTGGCAGCAAACCAAGTTCCCAAGCATCCGGTACCACAGCGGTAATTCTTGCTGGCCTTTGTTCTCACAGCCCACAATGACATTGATGTCTGGTCAACCACGGCAGAGCTCCACCGACGCAACGCCTCGGGCCCATTCTAGATGAAAATCCTTTGTCATTGAAACGGGTGCTATCGTGCTCCAAATTTGGATGCGGCTCGTAAATCACAACGTCGCAGACGAGGAGTTCGAGTTTTAGATCTTCCATCTCTAGGATACCGAGCCCAGAATAACAAGCAACATCAAAGGCGTGGGATCGTCACCAGCACTACTTCTCAGCCGCATTCGAGATGGCTTGCGGTGCGGCTCATGTAGTGCTTCAGGAAACAAGCTTGGCCAGGGCAATAATTACTCGGGTGTCGTGGTTCCAGACCCTTCACTGACCATTTTTGCTCTATTCTTCGTGAGTTTGGAGTTCCACGACCGAATGTTTGACGTGTAACTGTTGCCCTGTAATTCTGTATCGAGATCATGGACCGGCATGGTGTTGGGATCAAGAGGATCTGCTCATGGGACCGCGGCGAATGTCGGAGTTTTCTTCACCGAAGATCCCACCTTGAGGCAATGGACACCACAAGCAAACACAAATAACACCCTACATCCTGGATGAGTAAGGATATCCTCGGGTCTTGGTGCCAACCAGACCTAAAGTCTCTTACTCGTATTCCAGCCACAAAACTGTGTAGGAAAGAACCTTGCATCTACAACGGCGACAGCGTCTTCGTATCTCGTTCTCGTCGCTGCCTGGGTAAGGTACTTGGTAAGAATACAACGGCTAAGAATGGCAATAACATCAGTTCCCTGCTCCTTGCCCCCTTGCCGGAAAGAGAGATGGCCAAGTGCTGACTGGGGTGGCCCCTGCATGATCAGACCCCACATCATCCCAAGGTACCGCGGGTACGAACCCCTCTGGCGCTAGTCTGCTCGACGACCCTGATCCCAAAGCGCGCATCTTGGAGAAAACACAACACACACATCTTTCCGTCACTTGCCAGTTGAACGAATTGCAACAAAGTCAGCGCACGCACCCTTCAGTCTGGTCTTTTCTGCCCATCTCCTTGCGTCTGGTGCTTAATCTCCACATATTCAAGGTTGTCATTTGGGCCAAGAGCTGGTCTGGGAGCCCGGCGTTTTCTGCCTCTCGTCTGGCCATACAACCGTCCCTTAGTCCGAAGCCACGAAGCCTCCTACTCTGGGCTTTAGAACGCCCCTCTCCCATATTGCCCCCTTCTTGCCGTCTCGCACACACAAGGCGCTTCGCTCCTTCACACCTAAGTGGAGGAGACGGACAATATTATCTGCCACAGACATAGCTATGGAAATAGCGAGAGCGGCACCACTGGGATGGTCCAGGGCGGCTAACGGTTTCTTACCCAGGCGTAATGAGTCGAGAGGTTATTCACGGCTAGCGTCTAGTTCTTTCTCATTGTTTCTCGCCTCGTGTGTATCGTCTTCAGCCCTCAAGCCAGGTTCGCGACCTGACAATGTCCCAATTCTCTCTTCCACCCCTTACGAGTAACCTCGGTCTTCTCCCATCATCCCAGCCTGGCACCAAGAAGTCAGCTCCCGGCCCACCACGTAGGCTAATCCCACACTACATGCTGCAAGTGCACAGCTTACGCCCATCTGGCTTCCCCGGTTAGCCTTACTGATACTCTTGTGTACTAGCCCTCCATGTGAGTATGGCAACCCCTAGTCCCCTTCTTGGACTCTGTTCCGTTGCAACCTTCCGGGAACCCCTGGCCCACGAGGGGGGTATCGCCTCTCTCTCGAGGTGGTAGAAGTCGCCGGGAGCCTAGTCGGGTCTATCGCGTACCCGTTTCCCTAGGGCTCCTTCGTGTTGGGCCACTCGCTGCCACATGAGATTGCCCATGCCGTGAATCGAAATTCATATATACCTTCATGATTCCCGGCTTCATCATGACCCTCTTTCCTCTTCACCCTTCACCTCTTCTATACACTCCTTAGTATCAACATCTTGTGTTGGTTTCTGCCTCTTGGCACACACTTGTCACCATGAGGACCACACAGTTGTCTTTCGTTGTTCTTTCTGCGTCTTCTCTCGCTAATGCACTCGCTTATCCACCTGGCATTTACAAACGCGCGGCGCCTCCCGCAACTCTCCCTCACGGCTACACCTACAAGGGCTGTTATGTGTATGATAACCCGTGAGAAAGGCTTCTGAACAAAACTCAAAGTGCTGACCAAACAATAGCGATGTCGGCCGAACAATCTCTGATGCCACCACGGCAAATGGGCAGATGAGCAACGATGCCTGCACAACGTACTGCTACAACAAGGGTTTCTCCTACGCTGGTACCGAGTACTACAATGAATGCTACTGCGGTAATGCCTTGGCCAAGGACGGTGTTCTCGCCAACGAGGCCGACTGCTCAACGCCATGCAGCGGAAACGCTACTCAGCCTTGTGGAGGCCCCAACCGACTGTCGTTATATCAGACGTCCCTCATTTTGGGCCCCTCTGTCAACCCCGGTGTTGGCGACTGGAGCAGCATTGGGTGCTACTCGTGAGTTGAATACTGCCTCGATGACTTCAAGACCACACAATTGACAAGACCAATAGAGAGGGAACCACTGGCCGTGCTCTCACGTACGGAATCGGAAGCATTCCTGGTGGCGAGATGACCGTTACCAAGTGCACTGCTGCTTGCGCTAATGCTAACTTCATCCTCGCTGGTGTCGAATACTCTGGCGAATGCTGTAAGTTCTCCTTGCGCTTGTGATTCTCGTAGTAAATCGTTAACACTTATGCTACCAGTCTGTGGCAGCACCATCTCCAACGGCGGTGCCCCTGCCGTCGATGGCTGCAACATGCTCTGCAACGGCAACTCTTCTGAGTATTGTGGTGGCCCCAACCGTTTGAATGTCTACGACTTCCAGCACCAGTACAAGCCTCTTCCCACCTCAACATCTACCCCTGCGCCAACAGGTGCTTCGACCTCCAGCTCAAGCACCAGCACTTCCTCGAGCACTGCTGTTTCCTCTTTCAGCAGCGCAATCTCCTCGTCTAGCAGCGTAGTCTCCTCGTCCAGCAGCGCAGTCTCCTCGTCCAGCAGCGCAGTCTCCTCGTCCAGCAGCGCAGTCTCCTCGTCCAGCAGCGTGGTTTCCTCTTCTAGCAGTGTTGTATCTTCTTCCAGCACTGTTGTCTCTTCCAGTTCTTCCTCCAGCAGCTCCGCGACCCCCACCCCGACTGGCCCCAGTCAACCCGCGACTGTCGGTGTTTGGAAGTGGTATGGCTGCCAGACTGAAGCTACCAACGCCCGTGCTCTCAGCGCGAAGACAACCGCTTCTGACGACATGACTTTGGAGAAGTGTGCTGCTTTCTGCGATGGAAACACCTTCTTCGGTGTCGAATACTCTCGCGAGTGCTGGTGTGGTAACTCGTTTGCCGCTGGCTCAGTCGCTGCTCCGTCTAGCCAGTGCTCCATGAAGTGCATGGGCAACCAGTTCCAGTACTGCGGAGAGGGCAATCGCCTTTCTGTCTACACCATTGGAAGCGCAACTCAGTCTTCGTCCTCATCCTCGTCAGCTTCATCTTCAACTGTCAGTGGCTCAGTGACTGGTGCCGCTTCATCTACCAGCTCTACAGCAGCTCCCGCTGCCACTGGGTTCCCCACTGGCTGGACTAACCAGGGCTGCTGGGTCGACAACCTGAAAGGCCGCATTCTTCCCAACCAGCTTCAAGACGACCCGGCAATGACCCTCGCTTCCTGCGCCAAGGCCTGTTCCGATGCCGGTTACACTGTCGCTGGTGCCGAGTATCACACTCAGTGCTTCTGCGGTAACGCCATCTACAACGGCGGTGCTGTGGCATCTGACCCGACATCCTGCAACACTGCCTGTGGAGGTAAGGCCTCCGAAATGTGCGGTGGCGGTAATCGTATGACCATCATCTCCAAGGGCACTCCTCAGACATACGCTCCGCCCGTTCCCCAGAGAAGCGGCTTCAACGGAAGCTGGACCTACCAGGGCTGTGTTCAGGACAATGTCGGAGCTCAGCCTAACCCGCGTACCTTCTACTGGCAGAACCTGTTTCCCGGTACCATGACGGCCGGTATGTGCTTGGACAGGTGCGCCGAGTACGGATACATGGCAGCCGGACTCGAGTATGGTGAAGAATGCTACTGTGGTGACCCTGCCAATATCGTCACCCAGAAGGCCGCCTTTGTCGACGACTCTGAGTGCAACATTGTTTGCCCTGGAAACCGCAGCTCCATCTGCGGTGGTGGTGCTCGCCTCTCGACCTACTTCTGGACTGGCACTACGCCTCTCTACTCATGGAACTTCGGTACCGATGCTGCCAGTGCCGGTGTCTACGAGAACCTTATTGGCGGTGTGACCATTCCCCTGATGACGATGGAGACCATCACCGGCAAAGTTTCCTTCCTCGAGAAGTTCGGCACTGGCCCGCCCAACTCTACCGGCGCTTACGAGCTCGACCTTTCCCTCGTCCCGGATATCAGCAAAGCCTGGAGAGAGATGCACGTCAAGACCGACATCTTCTGCTCTGCCGGCATCACCCTTCCTGACAAGGCTGGTCGCCAGCTCAACATTGGTGGATGGTCTGGTGATTCTACCTACGGCGTCCGCCTGTACTGGCCCGATGGCAAGCCTGGAACCCCTGGCACCAATGACTGGCAGGAGGACGTTACCAACCTCCGCCTGCAGGATGGCCGCTGGTATCCCTCTGCTATGATCATGGCCAACGGTTCCATCTTCGTCATCGGTGGTGAGGAGGGATCCAACGGCCGCGCTGTGCCCACCATCGAGCTTCTACCCAGCACTGGCACTAAGCCCTTGTACATGGATTGGCTCGCGCGCACTGATCCCAACAACCTGTATCCCTTCGTTGCCGTTCTCCCCAGTAAGGACATCTTCGTTGCGTACTGGAACGAGGCTAGAATTCTTGACCACGTCACCTTCAACACCAAGACGATTCTCCCCAACATCCCTGGTGCTGTCAACAACCCCAAGGGCGGTCGCACTTATCCTCTTGAGGGAACTGGTATTCTTCTTCCCCAGCACGCTCCCTACACTGACCCGCTTGGCGTTCTCATCTGCGGTGGTTCTACCGAGGGTCCTGCTACTGCCATGGACAACTGCGTTTCCATTGAGCCCGAAGGCACCAACCCTAAGTGGGTGATTGAGCGTATGCCCTCGCGTCGTGTCATGTCCTGCATTGCCCCCCTTCCTGATGGAACTTACCTCATCAACAACGGTGCTCAGCACGGTGTTGCTGGGTTCGGTCTCGCCAACGACCCCAACCTCAATGCTCTTCTGTACGACCCCTCGGAGAAGATTGGCCAGCGCATCACAGTCATGGCCAACACCACCATTGCCCGCCTTTACCACTCTGAGTCTATCACTCTTCTTGACGGTCGCGTTCTCGTCAGTGGTTCTGACCCCGAAGATGGCGTCAACCCCCAGGAGTACCGTGTCGAGGTCTTCAAGCCTCCTTACCTCACCTCCGGCAAGACTCGCCCTACCTTCACCATCGCCAACACGGACTGGACCTACGGCCAGCAGATCTCTGTCAGCCTTGGTCACGCCCCCCTTAACGGCGACATCACGGTCTCCCTCCTCGGTGCTGTGGGATCGACGCACGGTAACTCAATGGGTGCTCGCACTCTCTTCCCCGCTGTCACCTGCGGGCCTACCACCTGCACCGTCACAGCACCTCCCAACGCCGGTATCGCCCCTCCGGGCTGGTACCAGTTCTTCGTCCTCGACGGCGGCATTCCCGCTGTCGGTGTCTATGTCCGCATCGGTGGCGATCCCGCCAGCCTGGGCAACTGGCCGCAAGTCTCCGGCTTCAAGGTGCCTGGTGTCTAAAAGCCACATCTTTCCAACATTCAAAGCGTCATTTATTCCCAACTAGACTTGAGCTTTGTGTCCCAGGAGCTCTTTTCATTTTACCTGACTATTTTCACAAGCGATATCCCAAACTTTCTCTTCTTCTCTCCTTCTCTCGGGCATCTTCTTTCTTTTAGACCTAGGGATAAAAACACATGTCTGATCACATACAGACACACACACAGTCACTATGGCGAAATATGATTTGGGAGTTTATTTTTCGTTATTCAAAGGGAATTCAGATACTCATGACGATGTCCATCAAGGACTTGGGTAAATCTCCTACAACGACGAGGCCACACTTGGCATTTCTGCAGACTAGTTTTAGTATATAATTATAATCATTTAAAATTCACCATCGTGTGGCACCCCGTTGGAGGTGATGTGCTCTCGTGACTTTGTTCCCAGGCTACAAAGTGCATAAAGTGTGGCATCCATCAAATGCAACCTTGATAGAAGTTTTGTAAGGAATGAGCTGCTATTGAGGCTGAATCTGTCCCGAATCTTGCAAGCTAGGCATTGAGTTAGACCCCTCCAATTCCTGCTAGGCTAGTCTTAGGACTTCGTGCTACGTTATTGTGGTCAAATGGAGCGTTTATCGGAGCAAAACCCCTACGGACGAGGAAGATCAACTCACCGCTACTCACCGCACTAGGAAAAGAGCCGAACGACCAGATTCCGAAAAGTATCCCCGTCCTGCATACTATAGCGAGTTACATGGGGAGATAATAATACACTCACCATCTCTAGACTGAGTCTCGATTCTCTTTCCTTCATGCATGCCTTCGGATCTGACAAAGACTCCTATGTACGTAGTATGATTCCGTCAACAAGAATTGTGGAAACGCATACTCCATAAGAGGGCCCCCCGTCTTCCTTTCTCCACCCAATCGAATTTCCCCCGGTTTCCTTCCCTGTGTCTGCATTTGAGGTTACAGCGGTGAATGGAGAAGGGAAACAATGATTCCAAAAGATGACAAAAATTCCCAAAGCAGGGATCGACGTATTACATACATGGCTCGTACACCCGTACATCCAGCCAGCCAGCCAAGTTTCGTCTTCGCTGTTTCCAGACGGTCTGAGACAATGTGGAGATATTTCGGTTTTTGACGCACCGTTTGGAATACACTACTTGGTAAAGTCGGTAGACACGTCTGAGAGCTGGGCGAGGAGTTCGGTGTGAGGAGACGGAAGACAGGGAGAGGTACGGATACATTGTGTAAGGTACAGAGAGGAAGATTCCACATGCATTGCATACATCTCCACCTTCTCACATGAGGAGCAGTCAGCCCGGCTGGCCGCCCAATCATGGTGAAGCTTGGCAAGCGCCCCGTTGACAAACCGTTTGACTTCACTTCGTCTCTTACATTTTTTGGACTAAATGATCTTTGAGAACCGACGTTTACCGGAGGGTATAGGTCAGGGACCTGTATCTTTTTTTTTCTTTCCTCAGGGGCCAGTCAGAGTCAACGTCCGAATGAGGCCACTTTGCCCCTGCTGGCCAGCTCCGTACCAGACGATGGGTAGGTGTACTTACACGAGGCTCTGGATATGTGTAGAGTAAACTTGAGACTCTCTCTTGAACGAACTGAAGGCTTGCTTAATTGATATGTAGTCTTTGTGAAGTCCCCTGCTTTCTAGGGGACCATGGTTCTCTGTGCAGTTGATATGTATCTCATCCATGATCTGTCTTCAGTCTAGAGATGCAAAATATGCGGCCTAAATCCCCTTCTCTCCCTTTTGTAAAAGTCGTGAAACCGTCGTAAATTCATCAGTCGCCTCGGCGCAGTAGACGATATGCAATCCACACCTCGCAGCACTCTCAAGAAAGCCTTCCCACTCCCGCAGTCAAGATGCCAGGTCACGGGGGTGAATGCCTCCTCTCAGCCCTCACCTTCAAGCCGTAATCTGCTGCGCACCATACACCATACCCCCAGCATGCACACCAGCCCCCTCATCAACATCCATCTCCCACTCCAGCTCCGGAACGCCCACCTGCTCCATAACCCTCGCCACCACACTCTCAAACGCATCCCGCTCAATGATGGCCCCAAAGTGAATACAATCCACCACCCCGCTAAACTCCCTCTTGAGCGCCTCAATCACGTTTCCGCGCATCAGCGCCGCGGCCCCGTACCGCGCCGCGAGCTCGAACCACGCCTGCACGGGTGTGAGCTCGATGTCGCCCGGGTTCAGCGTCTTGGCGAGGGCCAGCAGGGACTTCAGAGATAGAGAGGATCCCGCGCCGGTGTCGGCTTGCCATGTGTGCGAGACGGTGGAGGCCTCGCCGCGGCGGATGGTGCGGTAGACGCGGGCGGGGGCGGAGGACATGCAGAGGGTCGAAGCCATCATTGTGTGGCCCGAGGCGGCCTTGCAGGTGTCGCCGTGGGCGGGGAATTGGCGGGGGTGGAAGTGGTTCCAGCAGATGTGTTCCATGCTGTGTGTAAAGAGAGGTTAGTTAGTAAAATTACAGCGACGATGATTGCTGAGGGGGGGGGGGGGGTTTGTGGCAACATACGCGAGAATGAGGTTGATGGCAATGATCTCCTGTTCCGCAGACAGCTGATCTGCTGACGGCGGCTGGGACTGGGTATATGTGATCGCGGCCGACGGCGACGAGATCTGGAAGCACGGCGTGCCGAGGGCGTCGTCCTTGCTCATCGTGACTGTGACCTCGCCCATGTTGACGTCCGCAAAGAGGTCGACCGGAGGGTACGGGTCGTAGTCCAGCGTCTGAGGTTGATATGCCACCACCTGGGATTCTTCGCCCGGGGGAGCACCCGCCGAGTACTGTGCTTGTTGGTCCTCTGACTGCTGGGAAAGTTGTCGTTGTGCCGGGACGGCAGGTAATTGCTGCTGCTGCTGCTGTTGCTGCTGGACCACCGCCGGCGCCATCGACACTTCTTCCGGCACCGCCACGGGCTCCTGCGATCCGCGGATCCGCACTTCGCTGACGACGACGCTCTCGCCCTTTGCGCTTTCAGGAGGTACCGCGAATCCTCTTGCGGTGAGGGCGCCCCTCATGTTCTCGTTCTCGCGGCGGAAGGCGAGGACCTCCTTCTCGGCGGCGGCGATCATATCCCTGAACTTGCAGACGTCGAGCTCGAGCTGCTTGATGTAGTTGGCCTTGCGGGTGCGGTGCTGGATCTGGGCCTTGCGGACCTGCTGGCGGCGAAGCTTGGCCTTCTCTTTGGCCTTTTCTGCGGACGTGAGGCCGGGTGTTGTTGATTCTGCTGGAGTTGGGGGTTGGGCTATATTAGTTCTCTAGTCTGGTCTGGAGTTGCATGGTTTTCCTCAAGTGATGGGTTTCCCACGTGGGAGAAAGAAATAGGGAGGGAAAGAGGATATAAGCATATGAGAATGGGAGCCAAGGCGGGAGCTTGGACGTAGACATGAGGAATCTGGGAATGTAGATGATCGTAAAGGTGGCATGGGTATTTCGTATATGGGTACAGGTGTGGATGTAAGTGAAGTGAGGGTGGTTAAGGTACGGGTAGGATAGTCTCCGAACAGGGAATGGATGATTCCAGGAGCCAAGCCTCGTCTAGACGTGATTCGCGGGGGTCCATGACCAGCGGTGTGTGCCGCATCGGGCAACCGTCGAGCCGGGAGACGTTGGAATCAAGTCGGGAAGGAGAGATGCCAGGACACCAGCTCTCATCCCCCGGCATTGCTCGTGCGGCTTTTCCAGAAACCAACATGGGAAACGTGGTTCATTGGGTAATGGCCCATGGGCATAGCTAGTTTGGTAGGGCAGGCCGAGCAAGCAAGCAAGCAAGCAAGCAAGCAGCGGTTGTGGTCGGTTCGCGGATCCCCCCAATCCACCACACCAACTTCGGACTTCTTAGCGGCGGGAAGGGGTCTAACGCCACAAGAGGGTTCGGGTGTGATGTGGGTGGCATGATGATGAGGAATCATGAGGAATCCGGCATGGGGTTGACATAGCATAACTCACAAAGCCCATCCCCATCCCTATTCCCATCCTACCATCCACCACTTCTGGATCATGGATTGTCGGCTTCTGGTCCCTTCATCCCCATGTATTTCTCTCTGAGACATCCATGGACATTGATTATGGGGAAGGTGACCGGTTCCACACAAGGTCACTGAAACCACCAACATGATGGATGCGATTCACCAGGACCCTGGCGGTGCACTCGTCGATCGGGAACGGGGACGGGCGGGCGAACGAGCGGGCCACGATGTTACAGGGAAGGACAGGTATGGAGTATCAAAAAACAAGCAACGAAGGTGTGTGGAATCATGAAGGCCGAGAAAGGGAGGTGGATATGTGAATCAAAAACGGGCGGGAGGAGAATAGGAAAATAAAAATAAGAAATGGGACGAGCGCATGTGGAATCAAAGATAAGACGGGATGAAGGGAAAGACAACTCCTGACACTTGTCATCGCAACTTTGCAACACACAAAATTTTACAAAACCGAACATCATCAGGATGAAGAAAACAACACAAATTACTCACGAGAACCCTGCAGTTCCTGATCTCCTCCTCCCGACACCTGCTGCGATTGGTGATCCAACGGCGACGACGACGATTGATGATGGTAAGGCGGCCCCTCGTTCACGAACTGCACCCTCCCAGCCCTTTCGCTCTCCTTCTCTTCTCTCCAGTACTCCTCGAAGCCGGCTCGACTGTCGCCGCTCGTTGACCTGTCATATTGCTGCCGTTGCTGCTGCTGGCCCTGGTGTTGGCTGAGGTGCTGCCCCTCCCCCGCCCTCACCGAAGCCTCGTGCTGCAGCCGCACCTGATTGTCCGCCATTACCGCGACACGCCGTGAAGAATTGCAATTGAGATGAGCTGGGCGCTGCAACTTCACCGCCGACGATGGGAGATGTGTGGTGTCGGTCGGCGTTCTCTGGTGGATTGGTGAGATGTGAGTGAGTGAGTGAGTGCGTGAGGTGAGTTGAGTGATGAGATGAGAGGTGCGATGAGCGGGGTGACGTTTGGCGTCGATGACTTCCGATTTGATCGATCGCTCACCAAAAAAAGTGTCGTCACGTTTTTTCCCTCTCTCGTTTGCAGATAATTAGGTGGAAATGTTCCCACCGGTTCGGAGCGGAGTTTCAAAACTATGGGAAGGAGCAGCCCGTGAGGGGATTTCGTCCGCCTTAAAGATGGGCGAATTCCAAATTCCCATGGGCGCCTTTTTCTTTTCTTCTGCCCGCCTTCGGGGGGGGGGGGGGAGACCCTCATTCTCCTCCTCTTCATCAGCGCACCTCCGCAAGAGCAGGAGGAAAGGGCCCAGAGAATGGAGATAGAGAGAGCGCCAGAGCCAGCTAAACTTCTTCGCTGTTGGCAGGGACCGCCGGAGCGCCGCAGCGTACGGAGTACAGCACTACCTACCTACACAGCACAGGAAACCGCCCCTCCTCCCGGGATTCTCAGGGATTCTGGGGCTTGTTCATCCGTCTGCCGGGCGGCACAGTGGCATGCCAAGGGAACTAACCGACAGGCCTGAGGGGAGAGGGAAGCGAGGTGAGGGACGGCGCTTATCCAATTGAGGGACAAGTGGCCGATCACCTCACGTGCCTGGCGCCTAACACCGTACCATTTTACCGTGGGGGAGGGAGGCAGTGTCACCTCAGCTGCAATCTCGATAGAATCTAAGAATTTGAGTTACCTTGATAAGATCTTACTAAGGTACTGCATATCCATCCATCCCTTTGCGTCTTTTCAAATCAGATTCAAATTGGTGCAACGATTTGTCACTGATGAGGGAGGGCAGCGAAAAACGAAAGGAATGGTAGCGGCTGAAAAGCTGAAGCGCTGAGAAACAAGTCTTGACAATGATTTGGTTTTCATTATACTGGCAGCGACCTTGTTGCGGGTTGACGAAAGCTAGGTATCTCTTTCTCATCTTTCTCACACCCACTATTCGTAGAGCGGTTCAGAAGTTTTGCTTCTTTAACATCTTCGACATGATCTGCTTCCAGAAATCTTTCCACCACTTTCCAACATCTCAAATCTCTTCGTCGTCTTCTTCACCCCCAAACGCCTTGCGGGAATCATGTAATCAATGCCAAATTGGCCCAAATTCGCTTTTACTTTTTTGTGACCACCCAACGCCGTATGAATGCATTTGATCTGCCCCGCCTCTCTCACGGAACCCGCTTCAGTCGTCGTCTTCGTCCTCGCTGGCGGTAGCAGTGTCTTCCTCAACGTCTGTCTCCGGAACGTTCTCCTCGTCGTCGTCTTCGCTGTCACTGTCGGCCGTCATATTAAGACCCGGGATAGCCTGGTAGTGTACGTAATCGTTCTGGACCCACCGCTTGCTCACGGGCAGCTGGTAAGGGTCGAACGGGAAATAGGGGTCAAGCTGGTATGCTTCCTCGTCTTGCGCTCCCGAGCCCGTATCTCGGAGTGCGCCGCCTGTGCCGTAGGTGTCTGATACAAATTGTGACAGTCTGATCCGCTTGTTCTCCTCGACACGCGGGAAGATGTACATGAGACCGAGCTTGTGTGATAGTGTCGCAAACTCCTCGACAATAGCCGGTGCGCAGATCTTGAGAGGATTCATCTTGCAGTATACGCTGGCAGAGAGCTCTTCTCTCATCCCTTGCATCCATTCCAGCTCGTGACCAAGATACGATGCGGGGTCCTCTGGGTCGACAAATTCTGGTGTGGACACGATCAAGTCGCGCCAGCGGAAGCAGAACATGTACAGCGCGGCCTGTACTTGTGCGTAGTAGATCTGATGTCTTCTCAGATCTGGTCCTCGGGCGTCCGCGTCGTGCTTGAGGCGGTAGATTTGCATCTGCTTGAGCAACAGCGCAAAGACTGTGCGCACCAAGTCAGACGGCACGTGGGCGCCTCGCGCCATGAATCCGGCAAGGTATGTTGCCGCTGCTTGACGAACAAAGCTCGGTCGGTTTTGCGAACCAAAAATGTGCATCAAACTGCCGACAAAGGTGTCGCGCAGGCGAGCTGACATTTGGCCAAAGTGGAAAAGGAGGAACTGGGTATGACGGGACTTGTACGTTGGCAGCACGATTTTTCCAAATGATTGAACGAGCAAGGCATATCGCTCCCATGCTTGATCCGAATCGGGATTTTCGAAGAGGGGTGTGTAGTGGGCAAACAACGTATCGAGGATAGCATCCAGCTTTTCAACGTTGCCCTTGACCACGCGGATCTTTTCTTCATTGTCATCAAAGTCGGAATCATCGCTGTCAACGGACTCGTCATCGCTGTCCTCGTCCGAAGCTTCCTCATCGCCCTCCCATGAGCCGGTATCCAATGACTTGCTGAGCGCGTAGGCAACCGATGCCGTAAGGTCGTCGTCGAGGTCGTCGAGATCCGTCTGCATCTGGACATCAATCTTAACCAGTCGTGACAGCAGCACGTCGACAATTTCGAGGTCCAAATCTCCCGCGTATTCCTTCAACCTCAGAAGGTTGTTGACGTAGGCAACGAACATTTTTTTCGGGTCGTCATCAAAGGGAAACTTGGTTTCGAGGAGGCCGCGGAGAACAGGTGTGGCGGCGGGGAACATTTGAAGAATGTACTGAAGGCCGGTGTGTAGCCTTTCGCGCATCGTTGCTCGGCTAACGGTGGGAAAATCGGCGACGCTCCACTCTGATTGTCTAGAGTGAGAGAACTTTTCGACGATCATGGACAAGACATGCGTCAGATAGGATCCCTGAGCACTGACGAGAGCGGCCAGGAACTGGATGTACACCTTGAAGAAGTCCTCGTCGCGGCCCAACCACGAGACCTGCAAGACAGTCTTCACGAGGCCATTGCAAGCCTTGTTCTTCAGCAGCGGCACGCAGCTGGTCAGCGCCAGAACGTAGCCCTTGAGCTCTTGGGGCTTGAGCGTATCCTCATCTTCTCCGGCGACGGGTGGCAGGTATCGCTGCTTGTCGTTGGCGAAAATCTCCTTGAGCATGTCGTAGTCCTCGTCCTCGCCCATGAGGTGCTCCTCCAGTGCCTTCCTCACTTCCGAGTTGACCTCGTCCATTGAGCGACTGCCAAACTCGAAGACGCGGTTTTTCATTTCGTTGATGAGGACTTTCCGCCTCTTTGTCGGGCTCGAGGGCGGGTCATCGAACTCGATTTCGTCAGCTTTCCTCCGGCCGAGGACTGTCGTTTGACGCAAGATGCTTTTTATGGGCGTCGCCGTTCTCGGTGGTGGACCAGACCGGTGTCTGGAGATGGGGGTGAAAGGACGCATGAGAATGGGTTGTTTGTGGTGGCCGAGGCTCTGTGCTCTCGCCTTCGTCTTCCCTCTCTTTCTTCCGGCGGCTCAGGCTCGAGGTCAGATCTTCACAGTGGTCGGCGGTTGGCAATTCTCATTGAAGGGTCACTGTGTGGCGCGAGGATCTGCAGGGAAAGTCGTTATGCATGTCTCGCTCTCTTGCGACAATGTGGAATCGTTTCGAATTATTGTCCTCGAAAGAACGTGTTGGTTTCTGGACGTTGTTGTGTCGGCCGACCGAAATTATTTCGTGGTACGGTGGCGGTTGGTTGCCTGGTAAAGTTTCTAGTTCGGCGTGAGCTGCCGCCGACGCTTTTTTTTCGTCGAGTGGGCTGCCCGCCGTTCTGTTTGGCTGCGAAGGGGGGAAAATTTTGAGACTGGAGGGGCTGCGCACGTGCCTCGTTCAACCTGGACTTGGGCTGGTGGGCTGCCCCCAGGCTCAGTCTTTCAGAGCACTCAAGACCCCTGGAATTCGTCTGGACCGTGCACTCTCGGTAATGGAACAATGACGGGAGCTTGGTGGAATCTAAGTGGCGGCCAAGATACTGGGGAACCTTGAAGCCTATGACGACGTCCTTTGAGCTTCTTATTGGATATCTATTTCAACATACCTTGGATGTCTACTTTACACACCTCACGGTATGAAGAAGTTGGATGATCAAGGCAGCCAGCAGCTATAGCCTGACCGCGCTGCACAAGATCAAACATTAGATGACAATGGAGCCCATGTGCCTCGTTCGTTTGCGCGACGGAAGTGGAATAACAAGCTATCTGAAGTGCTGTAGCTACCAGTGCTTTGGAGATACGGCCCGGGTCCGTTTCCAAAAGCTTCGATGCTTGCTGAACTGCTCTCTGCCGATGCTTCAAAACCACTGATTGGTTGAGCATGACTTACTGAATCGCAACGCCATTGGGGGGAATCTATCAAATAGACAATTGAGTCAAAGAAAAGACGAACCCCCTCCACTCCACACTTTTGGGTTAACCGTTCCGCTCCCCTTCCCATAACTGACTCCTGAGGCCCTCATATACAACCATGTGCCCCGTTTCCATCCATGGCCAGGTAGTCTGAGACCCCCTGCCTCCGTACTTATACAGACTTGAACAAATGTCCAGGCGTCCTTCATTCGTCGGGCTTGGTCGCCGTCAAGTCGCAACTAGTACATATATGTCGAGATGGGGAAAAAAAAGATAAAATCGCCCTTTCAAAACACTATCCAGCCGTCTCAGGTGTGAATCACATTACTGGTAGCCGTCGGCACCGCCGGTACCATTGTGCCCTGTCTGCGCGCCGTACATGTAGCCCTGAGCGTCGGCGGTGCCATCTCCTTGCTGGCCTCCGAGGACGCTGTTTTGTGGCTCGGCTTGGAAACTTCCTGCTCCGGTTGGCGGGTTGGCGCCGTAGCCACTGCTGCCTGGACGGTGGGAGGTTTCTCCCCTGTTGGACTGGGATTGCTGCTGGAATCGTCAGTTGAGCTCATTAGTCCTGTTTAGAAGTTGATGACGGCAGAGTTCTGAGCCGAAATATAGACTATACATACTTCTCTGTATTTCGAGAGGTAGATCTTGAGGGCCTCTGCGTAATTCTCGAACCCCAAAGAAGTCATGGCGAATAGAATGTCTTCTCCGTTAACCGTCTTTCTCTTCTCCTGATGACACTTCTCCGAGGCTGTGATAGGTCAGATATCTCTTCAGTCTCGTTGCCCCTAAACTCGGGGAGAGCAGCGGTTAGGAATTGCACTTACCCTCACTCGTGATGAACGAGATGAACTCGCTGACGCATTCCTGCATGCATTCTTTCGCTTCCTTGGCGATCTTTGCGTTTTCAGGGAGCGCATTCTTCATGATGCGGGCGACTGGAGCAAAGTTTCGTATATTAGCGTCAAGTTCATCGTACTTCTCACCGCCGGAAGCACCTGTTATGTCTGGCGACTTTGGTGACGATTCGTGAGACATTGATCCCTTCTAGCCCTGCGCTGCCGTCTTTGGTGATGTTTTGGTTGACTATTTCGCAACCAACGTCAAAGAACAGCGAGTGGAAGCGGAGAGCAAGCAAGCAGACCGGCCAATCCAGTTCACAGACCATAGTCATAGCAACCGCAAGCAAACACAAAGCCTCAGGTCAAGCATCGTCGTCGCCGTAGTCGTCGCCGGCTTCTTGATTTCGTTGGGGAAGGGGATGTGGCTTACCATTGGCTATGGGCAACCAGCGGTCCTGCTCCTTGACCTCGAACTCATAGGTGAGTCCACCGGACTGTGGGTCTTGAGCCTCGTTCATTTGTTCCTCTTCCGGTGATTGTACACCTTGGTCGACATCCTTGGGAGGAGATTGGGGGGAGTCCGACATATTTGGCTACCTGCAGCGGCTGCTGGCGTTCTTGTAATTTGCTTGGGCTCTTGCAGCTCGCACACACGACGGGCTTAGGATGATGTGTTCCCTGACACGTTGCAGGTCCGTAGGGCTTGCAAGTCTGGCGGCTTAGCTGCAGAAAGTGTGCGTCAATCCTGTCCTGGACAGGATTACTTTTACTCGCGATCCCCTGGCAGGCCCTGTCTTGACTTCAGGCTATGACGGATCTTCCTGGGGTGGCCTGTATGCTGCCTTGCCCGAGTTGAGTTTGGCGACAGAGACTTGAAAAAAAGCGGGATGAGGGTGGCTGCGTTTGCGGGTCCCACAGGAATGGCCAACGTCTAGTCCAAGGAGAGGGTAGCGTCGAACTGGCAAAGACGTTTCTCGATCGCCCTGCTGCAGCTGTGGATATGCGCAGTCCTCCGGGTTGGTGCTCGAAGCTCGGCGCGGGTTTGACCTGTAAGGCGGAAGGTAGATGGGGTTTGCGAGTCGCGATGGGGGTGGGTGAAGTTGGGTCGAATCAGGTATCCCCAAGGCGAAGAGAGGTAAGGTACTTGTGTGAGCTTTTCGGGGCGGAGCTGCGGAGCGCTGCGTCGAAGAGGCGCGTGGGCAGCCGGTCCGTTGCTGGTACAGTACGGATTTTCGCGTGTCGTTGAGACTTTTGGCGGAGCTTTGGGCGCGCAAAGAGTCGACCTATGGTTACACACCGGTCGACCGGACGGGAAAGCCGTGATAGGGGAATCAAAAGGTAACAGCTGCAAAAGCGCGTCAGAGAAAAGCTTCGCTTGACCCGAACAGGACGGAAAGTGAGAGAGAGGCACGGGAAACGGGGCGTGAGAGGAGTGGGAAGAGGCCGAGCAGTGAGGACCTAAGCACTCAACGCGCGCGTTGTGTGTGGTTGTGTGTGCGTGTGGTGTGTGTGGTTGGGGGGAAACATGGGAGAGGGGCCAGCAAGTGCCGTCGACAAGGGGTTGTAGAATTCTTTTCCTTACATGAATTTGGGGTGTCTGAGTTGTTCGATCGAGGTCGTAGTAGACCCTAACAATGCGCCTTGAATGGAGGATACACCTGTACTTGTTGATGGCTGCAAGAACGTGGGGTTGGTGCAGAAGGGAGAAATGGAGGGAAAGCGGGCAATGAAGGTGCGGTCAACAAGAGGCCGGCGCATTAAACACAATAACAAGGCCAAAGTCCCTCAAAGTCGCGCTGCCCACCAGCAGTTTTATCGATAACGTGATGAGTACTTCTGAAATGTATTCATTCAACACCACCTTTGCAAGTACCTGTCAGCTCCATGTCGTCCTCCAAGGTTTAGCGCGGTACCTGGACCCCCCATCCATCTGATCCTCTTCCCTAACACCACGCGGCTGAGGGGATGCGCTCCGAACCTGGAAGCTGCGACTGCTTTTCGCATACTCCATTTTATTTACGGTTTACCAAGCTCACGCGCTCGGATGTCATTTCGGGCGTCTGTCAGTCTGACGACATCTTCGACCCTGCAAAACCCCCCGTCAGACCACGAGGCATCCGAGATCAAAGATCAAAACTACCCTCCGGAAGCTAAGAATCCGTCGTCTACCAGCACCACCACGGGATCGATGAAAGGTACAAGAAAGGCAACTCATACTCACCTCTCCCATCCCTTCCGATACTCCTGCCTAGCAAAATTTGATGTGTCATTGCATGCATTCATGCTGTATCAACACGGACGCTGGTCATCCTGCCCGTCCTCCCGTATATGAGCGGTGTACGGATGGGCTGCGCAAAGCCACTTCACTAAGCTCAGAGGAGGGTAGCAAGCACAGCTACCTTGCCTTTCACCGGCCCATGGCGGACGCCAAGCGGGTGCATGAAGCACAACCGACATAACGGGACGGAAGTATGATGTGAGCTTCTGTTCTTGCAAGTCTGCTGATGATACCTTTGATCTTGAGGTGGGGAAACCAAAGACGTCCGCTCAAGAGCATCGGTAAGCTCTATCGCGCGGGCCCATGCCCATCGCCCTCAACAGGTGTCATCAAAAAGAAAGATGCAGCTGGCGCAATACGATAGTTACTTATACCAATGTGGATTCATCGGCCGTGCGACTTGTGGCAGTTTGGGTAGCTCATCCGTTGCGACAAGACCGAGTGGGAGGGCGAGGGCGCCGGCTGATTTGACAATGGCACCGTCTGGAGTAAACAAGCCGTCGAACCTGTCAGCTGTCTTTCTCAACATCGCCCCCGTGTCAGGCACGAGAAGGCTGACGGCAGCCTAAGCAAGCGCCCTGGATGACGACCGCTTGGGCCGAAACGTGCACCTTGGTTGGCTCGTACAGCTACTTTCCTCTTCGGGCGGGATAACTCTGAAGAGGGGCCTCTTGAATGGGCCATTCGAGATACACGCACACAAGGCTGCGCAACATGACGTCCAATGATGTCTCTTTCGCTTCGCAAGAGACGAGAGAGAGCCCGGTTGACGTTGGTTGCCCTGGGTACACCAGCCAGACGTGCGACTCAACTACCACCTTTAGGAGGAAGAAAGTCGCGGAGAAATTCTTCCAATCTGTCTCAAGGAGGCGCCGGTCACCAATCGGCGGCCCATCGCCTTACAGTACGCCCGACCCTGCATGCAGCGCTGCAACAGACAACCGCCAACTCAGCCAGTCACCCTCATCGAAGTTGGGCTCCTCTGCTCTGTCGGGAGCCAATAACCCTTTATTTGGATTGGGCTCGGATTGGACGATGCCTGCCGCAACAAAAATGAAGGACCACCACCAAAAACTCCTGCGATGCAGTGATGCGCTGACCTTCCACTCTTGTTCTCCACGACCCTAGTCCGGATGATGCGGTTCCTACCCCTCCTTTTCCCACTCATCATGGCGAGAGGGGTACGCAGTATGTATACCGTATCAGTATCCGTTCGCACTTCGGCCTTCCCTCGCCGTTGCGGGTGATTTCATGTCACAGGCGAAAGGGTTGCATGTGTTGGCTGCACTGCTTCTCACCCCAGAGCTGGTGACAACTCAGAGCCACATTTTGTGTCGACCCTGGTCTCTTACAGCAGCGCCGAGGGGTACCGGTCTGGTCTCTCTGCGTGAGCCATCAAGCTGTTTAACTGCCCGACGCCAGCATCGGGGAATCGGGCAATGTCGTCGCTGTGTCAATTTCGACTGTCAAGTCCTGCGCCCTGTCTACAACTCAATATGAACATTCCTCGACATCATCCGAGGCCTGGGTACGGCCATGCATTACTAGGTCCAGGCGGTCGTCAATAACCCACTGCTTGTGTCCGCGACCATGTCCGTATTTGGTAGTCCATGATGTTGCCAACCCACTTACTGAATGCGATTTCGTACTTGTACCTACAGGATGCATGCGACTATGAGGAAACTCCATGGAAGAGCGAGGCGGATCTAGACCACTGGTTGCCTCCCGCATCTACTTAGCCCGCGGCTGACCACGGATCAGGGCCAAATCGTGCCGCTCGTTGGGCATTAGCTCGACCAAGCATGATATCACGGCTGTAAGAACCCTCAGAACGGGAACATCAGTCGATCACCGCAGACCTCACGTTTCATCACTTGGCACTTTACGAATCGGATGACCGCCCTCTGCCCATTAGACAGATAGGCTCCATATACGCACACGCGGTACAGCTTCTGACGTCTGGCCAGGCTCCAACCCGTCGCCGGTCACCATGGGCCGGTCCGCCTCCGCTCCGCGGTGCCTTCTCTCCCGAGTGGCAGACAAATTTCAAGTGTTTAGCGTCATTCTTTCGAAAGAAACGACGTGAGCTAATAGGTAGGCATTGGTCTCGTAGCCCCGGAAAAAGGAGGCTTTCAGACGCGAGCGAACTGCCGTCAGGTTGTCAGAGGCCACACGCAGCACACCTTTTCGTCACTAGGCCGCATGACAGGCAGCCAGTAAGCACGCCTCGCCAGTTGGGTCGATCTCAGCCAGCCATCTTGAAATGCCAGATGTGCCAATGATCTTTTCTCAGTGGTCTGCCAGTCTGACGACCTTTGCAAGTACGATCTTGTTGGGCACTGAAACGCGGTTACCGCCGTTATCTCTATTGCTTCTGAATGTCTCACATGTCTACGACGTCGAACAACGCATTGCTGCCACTGCGTGGTCTTCATGTCTCTATTTTCCTGAGGCTGAGATGTATTGCTGGGTTGGCTTCCTCCTCTCATCGTAGCATCAACCCATGGGTATATTCGATGCCGCCTCATTTTGGACGCCTTTGATGTTCGCATAACGATTTTGCTGTCCCTTGTGCTCTTCTCAGTAGAGGCCGCAACTAGAACGCCTGATCAAGAACACACGACGAAAAAGCTGTCTTTTGTTCCCCGTCCAAATCACCCGTTCCGTCGATCTATGTGCACCGAGCAGACCGAAAGGCCGTCGTCATCAGTTTGTTGCACAAAGACTATCGAAGTCAACGTCGCAGACCAACATTATGGTGATCCAAACCCAATGTTCCTAAATCTCAGTTCTGGACAACCTGAACATTGTTCTTCTTCTATAATTCCACATTCGTCAGCAATCGTTTACAACCCAGTGACCTCATAGCAGGGGGAAAGTAAAAGGAGCAACGTCTCTTGCATCCAACACGAACCTTCCACTTCTCCAGCTCGTCCTGTTTAGCCTTGTACTGCTTGACAAGGTCCTCCAGGACCTTCTTCAGACCTTCCGAGTTGGTCGTCAGGGCGGGCATGACGTCCTTGACCGTCTGCTCCATGAGGACCCCGTTGATGAGGCGGAAGCACTTCCGGTCCTCGGATAGCGGTTGCAGGGTCTCTAGGACGAGTCTGTGTAAAACGAGTCAAGGTTAGAATAAGAATGGTTCATTTTTCATGGGAGGCGGTGTGCCGGGGAGAGAGGGAACGAGGGGGAAGGCGGGAGGGGGGGGGGGTTCATCAAGGGTTCGTCATTTGAGTTTCTGAAGGAATGAAGAGTGAAGAGCGGTGTGATGAGGGCGAACAGTTGGCGGAGGGCCATGCCGGAGTGAGT